TTTGGAGTCACTACCTTCTTGTAAGTCGATAGTTCTGCTCGTTTTTTGGCTCGATGCACGGTTGTAGACGATACACCCAGCTTATTTGCGGCATCTCGGAGAGAGAGGTTAGGGTTTCGCTTGAAACTACCGGCAACTCTCTTTGTCGTCTCAGCGGCTTCCGGTTTTCGATTTCCCCCCGATCCAGACTTCCTGGCTGTCGACAAACGTTCCCCAAACACTTTAATTACATTTGTAACGGTTGATTTGGCAACTTTTAGCGATTTTGCCAACTTTGCGTGCGAGTAGCTCGGATTTTCGCGATGCGCGAGCAAAATTTTGATACGCTGCTCTTCTTGCTTGGACGGCATTTTGACAACTGAAGAGTGAATTCCAAAATCAAAATAGGAGCAACACACAGACACCTTCAAAATGAGGGGTGTTCAGGTTTTTTAAATGCAAAATTGAAAGAAATACGTCAAGTTGATATTGACCAAATTTTGACCGTATCACCCTTTACTTGTGCAATTCATAAACGTCAGAGAAGTCTATAGGCTAGTCAAGTAGTGAGCCAATTTAAAATTGTTAGTTTCGTATTCGTATTGATTGGTAGAACTGGCAGTTTATTCTCATATGAATTCATGCTTTGTTTATGTTTACATTCAGCACCATTAACACCAGATCACTCAACACTCTAGATTTCTAGCTGTCAGTTCCACTGAGAAACGTCTCTTGGATCACCTTATTGAGTGTTTTGCACTCTGTTCCCACACGAGGCAAGACGTGTTTCTTATTTCTCTCTCCTCTAGGTTATGGGCCCAGAGATGCGATAAAAAGAATATTCAAGAGGTAAAGATTTTTTTTTAACTCAAGATAAAAAAGATTTTTGTTTTAACTCAAGATAAAAAAGATTTTTTTTTAACTTAAGATAAGCAGTTCATGGAATTCAAATTTCTTCCGGAATGCCAGCAATCGAAAGACTTGTCGGTCGCGCAAACTAAAACACGTGAAATTTTGCTCTACGAACGTATCTGGAGGTTGAGGAATTGTGGGAAATCGTGTAACATACTCCGGATGAAGAAGGAAACTTGCCCGCTGTCATCGTCGGCAAGGACCGGAAAGCCCGAGGTAAAATCTTTCTCGGCCTAGATCCAACGCTGTACGTTCACGTTCAAGATACGAAAACGACCAGTGAACCTTGGAAGAAACTGGAGAAGGTATTTGGCGGCCTCACGCGAAAATGGGAACTTCTCCACAAGCTCATCACAACCAACCTGGATAGCTGTGGACCAATGGAAGCGTTACGTGACGAGGATGGTTGGTACAGCTCACCAATTGAACGGAGTCGGATTGAAGATTGACGAAGAATGGCTTGGAATGATGCTTCATGCTGGGTTACCAGAAACATACAAACCCATAGTCATGGCATCATGGCAAACTCCGGACCAGCGATAACCGGCGACGTAGTGAAAACGAAGCTACTGCAGGAGGTTCAAAAGTCATTGACAGCTGGATTGACAGCCATCGATTCAGCGTTCGTTTCAAATGGATCAGGAAGAAACAAGCACAGCATCAGTTCTGAAGGTCATTCGTCCAAGGGTCAGAAATGCCGTTGCTGTGGAAGATTTTGGCATATGTGTCTATGTGAATTGACCACTTTGTCAAGCAGTTTTGGGGTGACTTTCTACCAGTGATTCCACAAAACTGGACCAACCAATTTCTATTTTTTATGAAACGCACAAATGATGGCTACTTTTCTCGTGATTCTAGAAGAAAAAATCTCAAAATAATGTTTTAATTCAAAGTTCGAGTGGTAGTAAACGTCATTTTAACTGCTCGAATGAAGTGATAAATTGAATCGATTCACGACTAAGTAAGAACTGAGCGAGAAACCAAATAGTTCGTTTTTAAATATTGTATTAGGCGTATTTTTAGAGTCAAATGCAATTTCGGTTACAATAAGATATTTTTGACAAATAGATATTAAGTGTGGTACGCGAAAACCGAAAACTCGTTAAACTGAACCGAATATTTACTAAATATTTTTTAAATGTCAAACGCTAAATATCGGTTGAAATTTTATCCGAAGAAACTCGGGTTTGTTTTAGCTGAGTCGAAAAAAAAAACTGAGTGGCCGCCATTTTTTCTCATGTGTACCCGTTGGACTTCTTCAATGTTAAGAGTTGTAAGAGTGTTTAATCGGTGTTAAATCACCGACAAACCGGCATGAATGACATTTCTGATAAAAGCACAAAACTGACATCTGCCTCTGTGTTCGCAGAAAATCTTTATCCTAGCCACGAACACGGGTAATAAATTCATTAGTTGGTTCGTGTCTAATCTATTTCGGACAAACTATTTTTATCTAGATAAAAAGAATTAAATGGTTTTGGCAGATGGGATCGCTGCACATTTGAATTGGCCGTTATTGATTCTCCATCAAGAGTTAAGTTTAAGTTTCACGTCGGTTTGTCCGTGGTTAAATAACCAAAAATGGACAAAGTTCTGGAGCTGTTGTAGTAGGAGGATTTTAGGCAGTGTGGAATATCTTTTGTTCATGCACTTTTTTTTTCGAAACCACATTTTTGCGTCTTAAAACAACGAAAAACTTTCTAGGAAGCCAGAAAGTCTGGCTAAATGTAATAAGTCAGGAATATAATAAGAACTAAATATAAGTTATTTTCGAGGTTATTTTTAATGAGATACAACACTGGTTTTTTCTCTAGAAATTAGAAGCAACGTTATATTTAGAGTGCACCAAAAAATAACCGATTTCTGTAATTGCAAAAGGTGTGCCGATGACAGCATTCGGTAATAGGCTTGAATAGCTGAACATGTCTGTTTGAACTTATTTTTGTCAACTGAGTTAGGTAAGTTTGACAGATTGTAAGAAAAAAAAATTAACGAAAGCTCGGTTGTTACTTTTTAATCCAAACCGACAACCTACACGAAACGAAAATCAATTATTTTATTCATGTGTTTCACTTACATATTTGCCAAAACATCAGCCTTATACATTCCATAAGACAAACCACATAGGTCCTATAAGGCCGTTCGCAATGCTGAGTTTCAAAATTGTTTTAAACTACTCGTCAATTCTATAATTTGAAACTGTCAAAAATAAAACTGCAACACGATCAGCGCAACGCACAGTTCTAAAAGATGTTTGTAATCATTAAGTTCCATAAGAATGCATAAAAGGTATGTTTGACCGCGTATACATTTCATTTGACACAATATCTTCATTAAATGTTTGCAAGGCGTCTACTTATTCGTTGACTTATACATATTATGAATAATCAGCAATAGAAATTTGCCAAAAGGTATAAGGAGATTTCTATCCGTGTAACGTTCAGAAGTTAAAAACAAAGAGTTCGGAATTATTTTCTAAGTGTGTATGACATGTATCTGTTTTCTGGTGACAGTGGTCCCCTTACACATAGGAATCGTTGGCACATAACTTGCATTGCGATATGTTCATTGGACATCGAATGAAATTGGACGAGTTTTGCCTCGATTTTGCCAATGGAATTCACATGTAATTGTGATTTAAGATCAGTGCACCTTTACCATTGTTCAACTCACCTTGGAGATTTGCATTGGCGTTGACGGCGACTCTGTAGCTCTTTACTCCTATGAGAAAATCCATAAGCAAACGTCAGACTGTGCGTGAAACATGGCGGACTTTGTACTATCCTTTCACTCCACCGAAAATTCCCATAAGAAACTGTCTATATTTGCTGAAAGAGCAAATTTTTCGACGGTGCCGTCAACGCCAATTCTAAAAGCATGCCTATTCAATTTGTTGCAGTGTGGTACTCAGAACCCATTTGAGAATTTGCGAGAGCGGCGAGAGCGAGAGTATGCTGACGCCGGGAGTGAGACACTCATTCATTAGAGTGATCTAAACAAGGGTTAATCTTTTTATTTTAAGCTTTGAAGGAATTGTTGAAGTTTAAACCCTAATAATTTTTTTTCATGTTTATTTTTCTTAACGACGTGTTCAGGGTATCATCCAAACCATTTGTGGAATAGTTCTATTATTTAGGTTATCGTTCGTTTATGGTAATTTTTATTTGGGAAGATATTAAAATCTTCGTTTAAATCAAAAGTTTTCATGTAAATACGATTCTGCTTTCGAGGAACTTATTAAATAATTAAAATATAAAATATATAATAATAATTAATAAAATTTTTATATCATTTTTAAGAATGAGTTGGTTCAACGCCAATTTCTCCTTTTGATCATTTTTGGATCACCCTAATCAAAACTCTTCCAATCAGAAAATCTACTGAATTTGATCGAGATCGACTCATTCGACACAGCAGTGCTCGCTCTGAGCGGACGTCATTCATTGTATTCCATTCGCTCGGCGTGGCTTGTTGTACTTATTAATTTATACCTGCCTGCCTGCTGGATTTGGGCTGTGCGCGGAATTATATTTTTCCGAATCCGACGACCACCGCGATCCGATCCGGTTTGTGCACTGGGGACGCATGCAGATGTTGTGCTAGTGTATATTTATTGTTACGGAAGTGCTGACGACGGCGATTTCGATGTCGCTGGTTTAATACCGTCGTTTTTGATAAAGTGCCAATCGACAAAGAAGAAAATTCCAGCGTTATCTCTAATTAGTGTTTGGAAATTATTATGGCATAGTGCGAATCCGGGTCAAAGGGAAAGAAAAGCCCCCGGAACGTGAGTGGCATATTAAACTGAGTCACTACTAAGTAGTAGATTCTGTTGATTTCGAAAGGCAAGCGTCGAATTGATGTTCTTCTTGTTATCGGTTTTGTTTTAGTTGAGGTCCACACGCTTTTGGGGTAAGTTTCTATTCATCATTTGCCTGGCGGATTGTCTCTGTGGCTGAATTATTTCAACTTATCTGATCTCATCGTATATTTTGCGTTTGCAGGTGTGTGAGTGCGAGTAAAGCAGTATTTAAAACGCCGAGCAGCAGCTGTTGAATACGGATACCTTGCGGCGGAGAAAGGTGCGATCAAGTTTCTTTAATGTGTTTTCTATTTACAGGAAATTTGCGTAGAAATAGGTTGTGAAGGCTGGATTATTGGAGAATATTTTTCGCAATCTTTTCCCGGAGGTGGAAAAGCGGAATGTGGAAAAATTTCGCACACATACGCATGCACTCACACAGTGGTGAAAGGGATCGTGTGCTCATCACGCGAGGAAGAAAAGTGAATTTTGACGTTTCCCGTTGTCAGTTTGACGTTTCTCTGCACTCTCATTCGGAAAAGCGATCCATTCCGATCATGTAAACAATGTGTGGGAGAAGAGGAATACTCCCGCTCAGGCAAGCCGTCGTCGGCGGAAAAGTGGGATGAGATTGGATTTTCATGTCGGTTTCAGCGGCTCTGGCTTTTACAAGGATTTTCCGCCGAGAGCGCGCGTGAGCACGTTGGAAAACCTGTGAGAGCGTTGGGGAGCAGTTTTCCTCCACTATTGGTGGAGTGCGAGAAAAAGGAAAAACCTTTCGCAGTCGAGTTCTGTCCATTGGCATTGAGTGTACGAGGAGGAAATTTTTTCTCCTTTCTCGACCTGGTGGTGCTGTGACAAATTTTCCAGGAAGAAAAAAACTGGTGAACAAGTGCTTGATTCCGGACGAAAAAGGGCCTACAGGACTGCCCTGGCTATTGTCCGCTGCTTTTGTCGTAGATTTTCGAAACATTTGGTTCCCAGGAATAACGGGGATCCGAGTAAGCTTTTCCGTTCTGTGAAACTCTTGATATGTGTGTATGCAATTTTTCAGTGATCAATAAATGAGTTAATAATTCTCGCTCCCCCTTTCAGTAGGAGGACAGAAAACTCCCCAAAGAGCTCTCGGGTTCTGCTGCTTGAAAAATTGGCTGACTGGCTGGCTGGCCATCGCGAGTGCTAGTGTGTGATATAATGTGAATTTTTTTTTTTTCGTATTTTCACTTCAAGTGTGGGACGTGAAGGAGAACCTTTTTCTCGGGAATCGGAATCGACGGTGTGCATTGGCAGGATCGATTTCTGTTGGCAGCCAGTCTGTGAGCTTTCTGCCCTCTCGAGACTTTTAGAGTGTCAGCGAATGTGTGTGCAAAACTGCTCGGGGAAAAGTGAGAAAATGTTGCTTTAATTGTGGTGATTTTTCTTGTACAGGGAAGAAGTTTCTAGCTGCCTGCCTTTTCCACCTCCACACGACGGATTTCGGTGCATGAGAAGCTCCTCGAATTTCGAGAGCAAACAGTGTGTGGTGTCTAATGAAATAAAATAGAATTGTCTGACCGAAAAAGAGAAACATCAGGGAAGAAACGAAGAAAAGGAAAAGATAGCGAAAAAAGTAAAAAACGCGAATAACCTATAGTGTCTGTGTCTGTGCTTGAATTCGAAGAAAATTATGTAATAAGTTGTTATATTTTCACTCTCCCAACATCTTCTACAGAGCGAATTTTCCCTCACATCGGTCGACGGCGACGACGGTTGTGCGCTCCTGATCGCTCCCATCATCATCCACACACTCAGACCAGAAGTCAACAGTAGTGACCGAAGAAGAGTCTGTGTATTTGGTGCTGTTTGAGCTTCTCGAGAAAACGCTCCTTTCCGAATGGCCACCATTTGACAGTCGACGAGCGTTCGGTGGTGCTGCTGGCCATAGTCGATCAATGAAGCCCCGATCGGTGGCGGCCAAACTAACCTGGACTGCTTCACACTGCCAACAGCGATAGCAACAGCAGCAACGGACACGTCTTGAGTGAATTTCACTGCAAGGGAAAACAGGATAAAAAGTATAGGGATCCCCATCGGGACCCTCTCCGCACTCGAAAAAGAGAACATTAGAGCGCGCAAAAAAAAAACTGAGCAAAAGCTGAGTGAGAGTTGCTTCTGGTGGCAAGAATACATACACATATACACACACACACACACGCGAATCCCCAACTTTGCTGGAAGCAATCAAGCCGTGAGCGGAAAAATCGACCGTGGAAAGTCGTCGGATTAGAACGTACCGCGAGAAAAAGAAAACACAAGTAACCACCTAGCTCCAGGTCAGCAGATACCCAAGGTAAGCCTTCATCCACTTGATAATATCCACTTTGGAATTGTTCAACCACCCACCTCATTCACCCACAAAATACGATGTTTGACAGCACTACCGCTCTGCTCGATTGGATCACAGCCGTCAAGCTTCTTTCTCAAGTGTGTCACGACACTATCCTATCTAGACACTCTTGTGTGTGTCCCCATTCTCACAGTGGAGCTCAAAACACAATTTCTCTTGTTCTCTCGTGTTGCTCCCTGCTGGATATGACGACTTCCACCCACCACCCACAACTAGCAAGGAGCAGCAAAGGCACACATTGTGCAGATTTTACATAATTATTGAAAAATCGATTTTCTCCACCGCGCGCTGCCGCCCGTCTCTCGCTCTCGCTTTCTCTCTATATCTTTCCACTTCTTGCTCTCGCGCTCCGTCGTGACCACCCAACTATCTCCCCCCAGAAACCCCAACAAACCGCGTGTGTAGTTTTCCTTCGCGTCCACAACAACAACAACAATAACGACGTCCACGACCGCACGACTACGAGGAACGGATGATGGTCACACATATCAGTTTAGGTGTAGGGTTCGCGTGTGACACATTTCTTTTACATCCCCTTCCATTCTCCGTCGCACGGATCCTCGTTTCGATGTTGCAATGTGCAATCCAGAGGATCCAGTGATTTTTCTTTTTCAAAATCTTGATTAGGGTTGAGTTTATGCTAAAATAGGCGAATCGCAACTGTAGTAGCTAGATGTCTTGCCACCCGAAGCGGGTCCTCGTAATTAAGAAAAGGAGTGGGTTTGTGATGTTTTCTCGAATGCCAGTCGGTCTCTGGTTCCACAGAATGCAATCGATAAAATGTTGTTACGAAACAGCCACTAGTGTGGGGAGGAAGTAGGGGGCGGTGGTCTTTGGCCGGAGGTGCATGGATGTATCAGTTGCGAAACCTTTTCATACTTGGAATGCAACTTAATGCAAAGTGGTTTGGTCTTTCAGACTCGGTAGTTGGTATGTGCAATTGATTTGTCGTGTTGACTTCCTGATTGATTTTGATGTAATAGGTGTGATAGTTACACTTTTAACTGAAGCACGTTTATAGTTATATACCGTGAAACTTATGTAGCAAAATTATGTTAAAAAGTATGCAGTGCAAGAAAGAGACAGGTTCCTGTTTTGGGCAGAGTTGTTCAAATGGTTTTTGCCCACTAGCTAGAGGAAATGTTCAGAATTCTCTCACTAATTGCAACTAGCATAGGGGAAATGGCTCTAATGTCGGCCTATGGATCTAAGATTGGGCCCATCGCTAAAAATCTGCTATTTATCAATTTTATCTAGATGAAAGCGTCAATTGGACGGTACTAATAGATATTTTTGGTCGCTATTGAAAATTTAGACGATTGCTGAATTTATGTTTGTGGGGGGGGGGGGTCATTTAGGCCGACATTACATCCTTATCCTCTATGTATTGATTTCTATTCTCTTTTTTTTTAAATATTCTTTGAAATCGGTTAATTCTTTATTTAAGAGATTTTTAGCCGAAGGCTAGTTCATCTCTGCCGTATCGGACATGAACTAGCCAAAGGATACAAATCTGCCTAGTAAAGAATTAAAAAAAAAATCCCAGCGCCGGCCGTGTCCGAATGCAGGTCAATTACGTTATGGGTACGAATGTTTTGAAAGCCGAGAAATCTTCATTTCCAAGACAAATCACTGGGATTTTGGATAACAGGGTTGGGTTTACAGCAGGGTTTCTTTTTGGCAAACGGTATGCGATTTTAAGTATTGTGCTTGTGTCAAGAAACAAAGCGACTACCGAACCTTGAATGTGAAGGGGCCTGCGGTCAAACCCTTGATGTTCTGCTCAGTAAGCAAAAACAGTCGCCCTAAGGCCATCGAGCTCCTCATATAACATGACACCATTTAACCCGGTACCCCGACGATGTCGACGACGAACTTTTACGAAACACACGGTGAGTCAGCAATGGGACTCTAATATACAAGGGCCTGGGATTGATCCAACAATTTTCTGCTCAGCAAGCAAAAATGTTGCCTAAGGCAGCCGAGTTTCTCATATCACAACACACCACTTATGATCGAGTTGATGACGGTGCCCCTTAGACTGAAAGAAAGCCACTGCTACTGATGATCTTTTAAATTTGGATACATACAAGCTCCAAAAAAAGACACTACGGGATGGCTCCGGCGTAGTGGCCAACCTCTAACACCATATTCACGAGTTTAAAGCCCACCCCTCATGCATAATTTTAAAATGTCATTCTATCTGCTTATTATCATCCATTAATCATCAATCATTGATTAATTTTTAACGCTCTGACCAAGACTGATGGGAAGTCAGGAGGTCAAATAAGTCAAGAGCCAAGCCTGCTTACTCGATCGCGGTCGGGGTACCTTATTTTTCTTTCTAAAAACGAATTACATTTAACTCATCACACCTACCCAATCGCACCAGCCGAACAATAGATCACGCGCGATCGAGGTTATCCCGTCGAGTAGCAGAGGGGAATGTATTAGACTATTTTTAATTGGAATGAACACACCAAATAAATCCATGATAGATGTCCAATGATGCGGATTAACACACTATGCATTCAAACTGCATCAACTTTGAATACCTTTGGTCTAGAAACAAATAATTTAAAAACTATCAGTTCTAACTCTTTCCACGCTTCTTGGAATTGATCGGCTCTATACGAACATCGTAATGGTGAAACGATACTCACGCCCCCGAAGGACGACCCGAAATCCATCCACTTCATACAAAATATTTAGGAGGATTATTTGAATTATCAGTAGGGATGCCAGTGTCGTAAAAAGTCTAGCTCTCACTTGTTTTGTTCTTGGAGATGGCCAAAGTATGCTGTATTCGACGTAGGGCCACGTCGTAGGCTTTGCACGGTTTACTATAAGAAATTAGGATGATCGGCTTAGACGGCGGTGGACTTTTGGCGGACTGACTAAACTGCCATTTTTAAACTGTCTCCAGAGATAGAGACTGTCCACCGAATGAGCAGCTAAAAAGGGAACCCAAACGGTATCGAACGGGGAATATCCAGAGGGATCCCCAATAAGAGCGTAGAGATTATAAGTACTTGTCCTGAATAGACTTCAGAACACCACTGGTTTATTTCGAAATTACAGTGGGTTTTTATAGCCCAAAAATCTACACAAAGTTGAACTCTACAGCTTGTAATAAAGATAGCATAGGGTTACGGTATGTAATGTGGGTCTAGTCCTTTCATTCGGCCTATCACGCAAATAAATAATTAATTAAGGAATATTACACAAAAAATAAGGAAAATATTGATCACTGATGGTTGATAAATGTGTACCACACACAAATCAATTTATATCACAACATTTCAATACATTTTCAGCTCTCGTAAGTAATAAAACTGGTTGAGAATATCACAATGTTCGGAGTTTTTAGCCGCCATGACTTATAAGGTTAAGATGGGAAGGTTGACTGACGATCATCAAATGGCCTGATTATGGCATTTATTGATTGGAATTACCTGATAATACACACTAGACGTAAAACTTACAGTTGCTGTTTGAATATTTTATGTTTATTTTAATTGTTTAACAACGTTTTCACAAGTAAAACATGGACCCAACTTTAGGGACACATTTCTTTTCTATGTTCCTAACTATGGCCCATGAAATTCATTTGACAGCATATAGCAATAAGAGTAACGTCAACAATGTTGTTTTGCATTTGGATGATAAGGAACGAACAGGAAGGGAGATTTTTTCTGCCAAACCTGTATAATGAACATCACAATGTTCTGATTTAGATATTCTGCGGTCAAAAGACGATAAGCGAAATTTTTAATTTTTAATTTTTAAATTGAGTGATTTAATGTAGTTTTCGTAAAATTTTCTCTAAGAAATGTTTTGAGGAATGAAGAGCATTAAGTTAACAGTGATAGTGATAAAAAAAAATACATCAGAAAACGTTACCAAGAGCGTTTTTTTGAGGATCAAACAAGATAGGACGAAGTTGCATCCATAAATAGACCCAATTTGGGGACAATAGACCCATATTACATACATTTCCCTCGTGAGTTATTGTCTTAAAAAAAGTAAGTTTTTCAACTTTTCGTGGTTTCTGATAGCAAACGACATGATAAGCATATCTAAGCATACCATTTAGCAGTAGAATATCGTTTGCAGGTAAATTCATTGATGAGTTATGATTAAAAACGTAATCGATGGCTGCATATTAGACCGAGGTTAGGGACGTATACCCTATCGCTTATTTACTTTGGTTAGAAATAGAAAACTGGAGGCAACATAGAAGTTAAGGAAATACCATCTGATTTCAGGGAACTTCGTAGTAGTTCGGGGAAAGCCGTAAAAGTTCAGGGAACTCATACGAACTTCAAGGTAGATATTCATAGAATTTCATGTAACTTCGTAGAAGGTCAGAGATCTTTGTTAAAATTCAGGAAACTTTTTTGAAGTGCAGCTAATTTTGTAGACGTTCAGCATACTTTGATGAAGTTCAACGAACTTCGAAGAATTTCAGTGAAGTTCGTAGAACGTAGAAGTGCTGTGATTTTTATAGAAGTTCAGCCAACTTTGTAAAAAGTCAGTGAACTTTGTAGAACTTCATCAAACTTTGTAGAAGTATAATGAACTTTAGTGAATATTGTAGAAATTCTGGGAAGTAAGCTGATGTTCAGCGATTTTTATTACAATGATAAATGACTAATGTTGAGTCAAACTATTTTCTACTTTATGAAACGATACTTGAAGGCAAGAACATGTGTTTGGGTGGTGAGATATGTTGCGAAAATGGTAAAAAATGGGAATCGAACCCACACCCACCAGTACGCTAGACGGGCACTCTACCATTATGCCAGAGCCATTGTTCATAGCCGACTGACCTACGGAATTGAGCTCCTCTGTGCGTCCAGCGATTCGGTCGTCACCCAACTAGCACCGATATACAACCAGGCAACACGAATTGCGGCTGGACTTCTGCCCTCAACACCAGCCGATATCGCCTGTATTGAAATCGGAGTGCTTCCTTTCCGATATTACATTGCGGAAACAATCTGTACCAGAGCCGTGGGCCTCGACGAAAAATTAAGCGGAGACGGAGAATTCTATCTCCTCACAGAAGGGAAACGAATCCTCCAGGAAATCGCTCACCAGGAGCTCCCCCCGGTGGCCCAGCTCCACTGGAACGGAGCCAGAGAGTGGGATTCTTCCCCCATCCATGGCCAAGCAGTTCCGAGCAGGAGACAACTCTACGGCAATGAGATCCTGCCTCACCGAATTATTACAAACACGGTACCACAACTATGAAATCCGTTTCACCGACGGCTCCAAGGCAGGAGGCAGGGTCGGCTTTGGAGTAACTGATGGACAGACCTCGCACTTCTGGAGACTCCCCGATCAATGCTCGGTCTTCTCGGCCGAGACTGCAGCCCTCCATTACGCAGCTTCCCTACCATCCTCCTCCCCGCTATGTGTACTAACCGACTCTGCTAGCGCCCTCGCGGCACTGGAATCCGCCACTGCCCGCCACCTCTGGATTCAGGCCATACAAAACCACACCCCCCCTGGCACCACTTTCATGTGGATACCGGGACACTGCGGAATTACCGGAAACACAGAAGCAGACCACCTCGCTGCCATTGGACGAAATGGCCGACTTGCCAACACTTCGGTACCCAGACAGGACCTGAAAAGTTGGATCAAATCAACCCTCAGGACGGCATGGGACCGCGAATGGTTCGCCAGGAGAGACCTCTTCATCCGGAAGACCAAAGGGGTAACCCTTCCCTGGACGGATGTCCCAAGGTTTAACGACCAGAGATTCCTGTCCCGGTTAAGAAGCGGCCACACCCGCATCACCCACAACATGGGGAGCAGCAGTGGCAGAAACTTCCGCCAAAGATGCGACACCTGCCTAACAATAATGACGGTCGAGCACATTCTTATAAACTGCCCTTGTTTCCACGGACCACGAGAACTTTACGGGATCCCGGGCAACATCCGAGACGCCCTTCAGAACGACCCGGTAGCAGAGGCACAACTGATATGTTTCGCGAAGGAGGCCGGAATCTACAAGAGGGTTTAACCCATATACATTATGACAGTAGGCCCGGCATTCCCTGCCGGTAGCGGGTGCCAGGTCTCTCCTGGCAGCTGCTACCGGTGGGGCTCTGCTGGGGTCCTCAAAACAAAACAGAAAATACAAAAGATGACAGCAACATAGGACAGTAAGGCAAAATAAGTTCCCCTCTGGAACCGCAACCATCATTCAACACCGCAAAATAAAAACTCTGTAGCTTCTCTCCCTTTGGGATACCCCCTTCTGAGGTGTCCGGAGACGAACCAGCCCAGGGCTGAAAGTCTCCTTAATAAAGATATAAAAAAAAACTACCATTATGCTATCGTAGACTAAATGCTACCCTGATCAATCTTACGAAGCAGTGATGTGATAGAGACGGTCCAACTCCACTAATAAGCGGGATGTGATTCATGATTCTCGCATCATACTCAAACCACCAAATGTTCCCTTGTTTGCCTACTTTTTTTTATTTAATATCAGGGAACTTTTTCAAACTTCCGATACTTCATAGAGGTTCAGGAAACATTGTAGAAATTCAGGAAACTAGGTAGATATTCTGTAAGCTGTATAAAGCATTTGAATGCTTTATAAAAAAATCCCACGACTGAAAGTCTTAAATAAAAAAATAAAATAAAAAATAAACTAAATTTAAGGTGATACTCTAAGGAAGCCTTAGCGTGAAACTTCAAAAGCACAAATGCCAGCTTCCACAAAACATACAATTATGAAATTGAGAATTTCAAAAGAGGTGTGAGTGTCACTAGTATTAAATCTACGAATAATACTGTAACAACGCTGACGCTAACGTTTGTTTCTTAATATGAGATAAAGCGAAATTCGGTTGGAAGAACGAGTACTTAAAAGAAATAATAGGGGAAACGGCTCTAATGTTGGCCTATGGATCTAAGATTGGGCCCATCGCTAAAAATCTGCTATTTATCAATTTTATCTAGATGAATGCGTCATTGGGACGGTACTAATGGATATTTTTGGTCGCTATTGAAAATTTAGTCGATTGTTGAATAAATTTGCCCAAATTATATCCATTTCCCCTATTCGAGTTATAGAAAAGAAGTGTTGATCGGAAATCTATAACATATCCTTCTCAAAAGTCGTTGTTATCGTCGTCGGTGAAGTCACCACCAGGATTGAAATCTTGAAGCGAGTTGAACAGGAACTTGGTCGTAATTGTTTTGTGAAATGAGGAGCTCGGTGGCCTTGCGGTGACCGATTTTGCTTACTGAACAGAAGACCGTAGGTTCAAACCCAAGCTCCTTCGCGATCTTGAATTGTTTGGACACCAATTCAGCATATCGTTTACCAAAACGAATCCTGCTGCAAACCCAACCCTTTTATCCAACATCTCAGTGATTTTTCGTGAAAGTGCAGCGGTGTTCTCGGCTTTCATTAATGCGAGTATTACGTCAACATATTCCTACCCCTTCATTTTTTGACCACAATTCGGACGTGGCCGACGCTGGTATTGCCTAGAGTTAGATCGCTAGTATTTACACATTGATGATGATTGCTAGTCCCAAGCAAGGTCTATTGGTTCTCTGTGTGATTACAGCTGATCTGGCAATAACGGAGTTGCATCCTCGGGCGGTCATTGATGCTCATGCTCATATAATTTTTTTCATTAATTAAAGAAAATATTAATAGCTTCCCTAATAAAATTGTTATGGTTATTTTCTTTAACGACGTGTTCTGGGTATAATCCAAACCATTTGTGGAATAGTTCAATCATTTGGGTTATCATTCGTTTATGGTATTTTTTATTAGGGGTCATGGTGAGGTAGCATTAAAATTTCTTCATTTACAAAAGATATTGAGGGTGGCACTCTTGCTTCTAGTTCCCCTATGTCTAAAAATTGTTTTTGGTTATCTCATATATTTTAATCTTTGCCTTATGGTAATAATCTTTACGGTGTGGTGTAAAGAATGCTGCACATACCTACGAAAAATAGTTGTATTAACACTGTAAACAGCATTTTCCCTTAGATTAGTGATGAACAATAACGTCACACGAACTTATCAATAATACAATTATTAATATGTTTATGGGCATGAAATCTTTGATATATACTCAAGAAGGCAAATTTTTTCATGGTTTTGAGATATATTTTGCAAAAATGCATATTGCATGTTTGTCCTCCATTCAATGCAATTTGTAAACTGACTACTCCCTACTAAATTGGGACCTCCCTTAGCTCAGTCGCTAAAGGCGCAGCTACAAAGCAAGACCATGTTGGAGGTGGCTGGGTTCGAATCCCGGTCCGGTCTAGGAATTTTTCGGATTGGAAAATTTCTCGACTTCCCTGAGCATATAGTTTGATAATACTAGCCACACAATTATACTAATGCAAAATGCTCTCAATTAATAACTGTGGAACTGCATCTAGAACACTAAGTTGAGAGCACGCAATAAGCTAATTTACGTTAAGCAATAAGCTTGAAATGCGAACAAGAAGAAAGAAGAAATTGACTACTCCATCCCTCTAACTGGCAACCAGTACTACCAGTAGGGGTAGCATTCCACTGTTGATTGTAAATACATTCACCTCTCACCAGTTGCGAGAATGCACTAGGTATTGCGTTTCGTTAGTGCGAGGAAAAGTAGTGCAGACAACTCCCGCGGCACTGGCCTTCGGTCGACCTTACTAGAAACGAGAGGAGGGTCCTTATTTAGCACTTCTGGGACCTGTCAGAATCAGGCAGGTCGGAAACGAATTCCCTCATGGGGAGACCCACATACACAAATCCATCCATCTACGTTCTATGATGGCAGCTTGGTGGTGGGGCAGGGGTTGGTTGGTCCGGTGGACGTACCGGGGAGTCGATCGGGAATTTCGGGAAAAATCAACAAGAATGAAAGGCAGGAAAGAAATAGATTCCCCGTCCGAGTGGCGGCGAGGGCATTAAATGTTAAACGTAAATGCTAAACGATCAGCTGGCTTCAATCAATTTACATTTCATTTAATGCTCTGTTTGCTACCGCCCAATCTCGCTCGGATCTTCTTCGCACTGTGTGTCTTGAGGGCGGCTTCGGACGTTTTTATTTCTTCACTCGTCTTCATGAGGGCCAAGTACAGTGCCGTTCAAAATAATAGCAGCGTAGACCGTTTTTCATCAAATCCAGCCTACTTTTTTGACGTCTTGTGACTAGGCATATTTTGATTTTTTCGGGTGTGTTGAATTTTTGAGGTTGGTATTTGCAAAAAAATTGATTTGTATATGGGCAGCAACAGGCCTCCCTTAGCTCAATCGGTAAAGGCGCAGCTACAAAGCTATGCTGGAGGTGGCTGGGTTCAATTCCCGGTCAGGTCTAGGAATTTTTTCGGATTGGAAAATTTCTCGACTTCCCTGTGCATAGAAGTATGATTGGACTTGCCACACAATTATACCAATGCAAAATGCCCTCAACTCGTTATTCATTTTTTCTCTTTGAACATAATAATTCAGGAGTTGATTTACCTTCAGTATAACAACATACATTCTTAAACTTGAATTACTTTTATAGGGTTCTGAAACATGAATTAGAAGAAAAAAACTTGGAAATTGTTTTAAGACCCTGGACCTAATAAACTTGACCAGACTTAAAGAAATTTTTCGGAAATCTGGAACGAGAATAAATCTTTCAGACGTCGAGTTTTTTTTTCAATAAGAGACGAACAAATGTTCCGTAGCTTATGGTCTTTAATTAATGAATTTGATGAGAATTTCCAAGGAACTCCAAGGGACAAGGGAATTCAGGGGAGAATTCCAAGGGACGAATTGTTAGGAAAACTTGATGCGATATTTGAGGATTCCTTTCTTATTAGTTTTGTTGAACTTCAGGAGGTGGAGAATTCCAAGATAGTTCTGTAAGTAGAATCCCAAGAGAATAGCGAGTAGGATTCAAAGTAAATTTCCAACATAATTCTGAGGAGGATTCCTAGGTAATTCCAAAGAGAATTCCAAGAGAGTTGTGTGTGTGTGTGTCATCCTCTATCCCTCACCCAGCCGGGGGCGTTGGACAAGTAGAACTGCGAATAATTTGATCAAATCGCATACTCCGTAATGGCGCCCTTTATGTTGTGAAGACTAGTACTTCAAAAAGGGTAACTAAACAGATATTAAAATTTTCACTCGCGATGCCACAAATTTTTGGTACGGGAGAAACAATTATTCCAAAGAGAATTCCAAGAGAGTTCTGACTCAAATTGCAAAGTAATTTCTAAAGGAATTCTAAGGGATTGGTAAGGAGAACTCCAAGGATCTTGTGAGAAGAATTCCAAGAAAAAATGAGAATCCAAATGGAATTCTGGGAAAAAAAATTCAATGAAAATTCCCAAATAAATTTTTAAAGAAATTTTGTGGTTAAGTATAAAGCAATACTTATAAGTCTATTTAATATTTTTACAGAACCCAAAGAAGTGTTCCTAGAGATAAAAAATTATTGCTAGAAAGTTCTATGTGGAATTTACTGGAAATTCCGAAGATAATTCGTTGGGTATTTCGGGAGAATAGTGAATATTAAGAAGCGAACGCAATTAAAAATTTTAAGAGAATTTCAGAGTGAATTGAATAGCCATCTATATACAGGGTCTCGACTACCTGGGAAAACCTGTAAAATCCGGGAATATCAGGGAATTCATGTTTGAACCTGGAAAATCAGGGAATCTCAGGGAATTTTGAGGATGGTAGTTCATTTCAAATTTTAAATAGAGTTGCGAACTTGTGGTTGCTGAATGCTCAAAATTACTCATGGTATTTTGATGCAAAATTTAACCTCCAAATGGGTATGTGCGTCTATTAATAGATGTTACCAATGCTGTAAATTCTCAAAATCAATTGAACATTTTTGATGAACATGAGAAAAGCAGCTAACCGCTATCAAAGGGGATCTCCTTCGAATGAGTGATATCAGTTGCTTAGTCATTTGACGAAGGCTTGGATCATTCTCATTTGAGAAACGCTTGATATAATTCAATTGAGTGTAACCTACACATAAACGGAGCTCTGGT